AAAAAAGGCACATCATAGCACTATACAAATATATACAGGGTGAGTACAAATTGCTATGTGCTAAACCAGTGGTTCCCAAACTTTTTAGGTTCAAGGCGCCCTTAATATTTCAGTATTTTTCCAAGGCATCCCAAGTCAAAATTTCTAGGTTGTATATATGTTAGACATGTGCAATTCGATTTGGACGAATATCGGACATTCGGATGCTTCCAAATGTCTGAAGTACCGAATTTCCAAAGTGCCGAACCGAATTGCTGAAGTGCCAAATTTCGGAAATGCGAAGTGCTTAGGACTTCTGAAAAGTGGCAAAACGGGTAGGGGTAGGATTGGGGTTGGGCTAAGAGTAGGGTTAGAGTTAGGGTGGGGTTAGGAGTAGGGTTTGGGTTAGGGTTGGGTAAGGAGTAGGGTTACTTTAGGGTTAGGGGTTGAGTTAGGATACCCCTACCCCTAACCTAACCCTACCCTAACCCCACTCCTAACCCAACCCTAACCCTACTCCTAATCCTAACCATACTCCTCACCCAACACTAACCCTACTCTCACCCTACTCTTAACCCTAACCCTACTCCTAACCCAACCCTAACCCTACTCTTACCCTAACCCTACTCCTAACCCTACTCCTAACCCAACCCTAACCCTACTCCCAACCAAACCCTAACCCTACTCCTAACCCAACCCAAACCCTAACCCTACACTTACCCTTAGTCCCGAATTTCGGAAGTACCAAACCGAACCGAAGTGCCAAAGTGTCGAATTGCTGAAGTCCCAAATTGCTGAAGTCCCAAATTTCGGAAGTGTCGAACCAAACCAAATTGCCGAAGTGCCGCATTTCAGAATGCCGAATCAAATTTTTTGCCCATGCACATCCCTAATATCTGTACAGCGCTGTCGCATTTATTGTCGCTCAAGTGTAATGTACAGTGTTGGTGCTTAACGAGGTGCTTGTATACATTTGTGTTTTAATACAGGGATGTGTTTGTATGTGATGTTTGTGTTTGATTGCAGGGGTGAGCTTGTATGTTGTGCTGGTGTTTCACTGTTTGGATGCATGTACATACATACATACTTTCACAGATATTCATGCACATTAACACACAGATGCATATAAATACACCGACACATACACACAAATTCATATAGACACCGACACATACAGATACACACCGACAGTTACACACACATACACCCTGTTCCAAATTATTATGCAAATTATATTTTTCTCATTTACCTTAATAATTGATGTAAATAACAGTCAGCATATTTCTCATGTTATCAACTATTAAGAGTACAATTTAAATTTTATTGAACAAACCTCCTAATGATAACAGTATTTTTTTTAAAACATAAAAACTTACACTGTTCCAAATTATTATGCACAGTAAATTTCAAAACACTTTATAGGTTGTAAAGAACTGAAAATTGTCATTTGTTGTGTTTGCAGCATATTTACTGAAATCAAAAGCTATTTCAATCAAACTTATAACAACATTTTAACTTTTTAAACATTTTAACAGGTCACGTTACATTTTAACATAGGACCCCTTATTTGATAGCAGCTTCACAAGTCTTGCATCCATTGAACTTGTGAGTTTGTGGACAGTTTCTGCTTTAATTTGTTTGCAACATGTCAGAATAGCCTCCCAGAGCTGCTGTTTGGATGTAAACTGCCTCCCACCCTCATAGATTTTTTGCTTGAGGATGCTCCAAAGGTTCTCAATAGGATTGAGGTCAGGGGAGGATGGAGGCCACACCATGACTTTCTCTCCTTTTATCCATATAGCAGCCATTGATGCAGAGGTATTCTTTGCAGCACGAGATGGTGCATTGTCATGCATAAAGATGATTTTATTCCGGAAAGCATAGTTCTTCCTTCTGTACCAGGGAAAAAAAGTGGTCAGTTAGAAACTCCACATACTTTGCAGAGGTCATCTTTACACCTTCGGGGACCCTAAAGGGGCCGTCTAGCTCTCTTCCCATGATTCCTGCCCAAAACATGACTCCACCACCACCTTGCTGACGTTGCAGCCTTGTTGGAACAGGGTGGCCGTCCACCAACCATCCACTACTCCATCCATTTGGACCATCCAGGGTTGCACGGCACTCATCAGTGAACAGGACTGTTTGAAAATTGGTCTTCATGTATTTTTCTACCCAATGCAGCCATCTCAGTTGCAAGACTCTGGAGGACTCTACACCTTGATGTCCGTGGGACTCCAGAGGCACCAGCAGCTTCAAATATCTGTTTACTGCTATGTAATGGTATTTTAGCAGCTGCTCTCTTGATCCGATGCATGGATCTGGCAGATTTCTATCTGCACAAACCCGTCTGTGCTCCGAATCAGCCACAAATCTCTTAATAGTGCGATGATCACGCTTAAGTTTTCGTGAAATATCTAATGTTTTTATACCTCGTCCAAGGCATCAAACTATTTCACTCTTTACGGCAGCAGAGAGATCCCTTTTCTTCCCCATATTGCATGAAAATGGTGCTCTGCTTAATAATGTGGAACACCCTCCTTTAGAAGTTTTCCCTTAAATTGGGTTCACCTGGCAATCTAATTATCACAGGTGTCCGAGATTGTTTTCAGTGATCAAAAGAGACCTGTGACACAATGCCATCCATGAGATAAACTGAAAAACAAAATATTTTTTTTTTTATATGCAATTTTTATTGGCACATGAGTATAGCGGTTTACAATACAAGGTATTGGCAGTACAAATTTGAGGTTACAGAAGAAAAAGATTCAATCAGGCCAAGATAGCTAAAAGTTACAAGATAGAGATACATAATGTCCTTTGTAGGTAATCTCAGTATGATTCGTCAGCCCCTTGTCTAGTATAGGATTGCATTCGGTTTCCTACTTGTGAATATTTTGAGAAAAGGGGGTGTCAGTAAAAAAAAACTGGGTGAAAGGGTGCCAGGGGAGGGAGGGAGGGAGGGAAAAAATTGTCGAGATCTTAGAAATGCTTGTATATGTTTAAGTGCATACAGTGAGATGAGATTTGAGAAACCCAGATTTACCTCTGTCCAGAGGTATCTATAGTTCGAGTCATGAGCCAGTTACATCGGTTGCCTCTTAACTACTTTTTTCTACTCTGCTATAGAATGCATTCCATGAATTCCAGGCAGTCTCCCCGAGGTGTGCCTGGGGGTCGGCCTTCCTGGCCATAATTTCGTATTTTCTGGTGGTTTCAATGGCCTTGATGCAGGAGGCCAGAGTTGGGGGGTAAGAGGATAGCCGGTTTTTACTAATGGCCTGTAGGGCTGCAATAAGTATGTGATACATCAAATATTGTGCAGATTTAGATATGCCTAATGGGAAAAGGTGTAGTAGGTACCTTTCTGGTTGCATGGGTAAATCAATTTGTGTGATGTCCCTTATTAGGTTCTAGATTTGCATCCAGAAAGGTATAATCTTTGCGCAAGTTGTAGTTGATGGCCCTGGGCTGTCCTGAGATTTTAATGTGTTCGCATAAAACAGCAAGTTCTATGTATGTAATGTATTGTATTCGTCTGAATGTTAGGTAGTTTCATTCCCTTAGTTTGTTCGAATGAAACTACCGAACAGTCAGACCTCCCTGGTGTGAAGTGTGTCCTCAATTAACCGTTGCAACATTGTTGCGAACGGGTAATTGACAAGTTAAGTAGCCGTCCTTTGTTCTCGGGGGTGGCTGCCATTCGAAAAACGAACATGTGGCGGCGGCCATTTTAAACCTCCCGAACAGCGGTGTTTTGCCGTTGAGTATCTGGAACCGAAATCGGACACTCGACTAGGCGAACACCGCTGAAACCTCCACAAGCCCGGTCCGTTCGGTTCCTAACTACCGAACGACCCCTTGTTCGGTAGATAGAAAGAACCAAACGAGGGGATTCAGGTGAACCCTCCCTAGCCTCTGTAGCTAGAGGTTTTCGTGCCATTAATTCCCTGACTCCAGGACCGACCGCAGGGCCCATTCACATGGAACCGCATTCGGCTGTTTCACCCAGTGCGGTCGGTCATTTTATGCCCTCCATAAATTTCCCGAACCCCTGGTCTGATCTGGGTGATTTTTGGATATGTTGTTCACCCAGATCAGGGCTACCAGGGGATATATGATTTAAAGTGGTACCCCTAAGTTTAGGGGTACATCCAGAAACGGGGGGAATTGGTGTCCTGGATAAGGGGATTATGATGCAGGCTGAGGGGAGGAGAGGTGTGGGAGGTTACCAGAGCAGGATTGGCTACTGTACTAATGAATGAAAATCCCTCCCTTGCATGGGAGCAGGCTTTAAAAGGCCAGTGTCTGAATAAAGCTTTAGTTATGCTCCTGAAACTGTGTGTCGTCCAGTTCTTGGGAATTGCTGTTGGGATACTGCTGTTACTTTGCCTGCTGGATACTTTACCCTATGGATTTATAATTGCTTGTTCCTGAGTCTCCCTGGGATCTAAAGTGGAGATAGGCTGTGGAATACCAGCTCTCCGCTACACAAGTCCACCATATATGATACACCGTTCCGGGATATGTTAGACGTCGCCAACATAGATCTGACTTGTGGGGGTTGAAGCGGTGTAACCCGGTGGGGACCAGATGCCACCGATATAATACCTTCCTGGAAGCTTCAATGTGTGTTGCGCATAGAGTTAGTTTTTTATTCGCCTGGAATATTTTGGACCATTGTTGTTCGTCCAGCTCCTGCTGGAAGTCTAGCTCCCATGCTAGGGTGAATTTTGGCTTTGCTGAGTTTAATTTGTGGATTATGTCATGGTATAGAAGGGACATAGGTTTGGATGGTGGTCTTTTCTGTGTGCATAGCGCCTCTAGGATAGATAACTGTCTCTCCTGCTGAGGCGATGCTAGTGGTTCTAATGCAGGTGGGGGCTTTTGTTTGCGCAGCCATGATTGTATTTGCAAGTAACTGAAACATAGCAAGTCTGGTATGTTATGCGATGCCTGCAGCTGCTTAAAAGGGCAGAGTTTATCATTGGTCATTATCTGGTAAAGGAAGATTATACCGTGCGAAGCCCATTCTGTAGCATTGAATTGGGCTATGAGTACTGCGAGGGCCTTGAGTGGCATGGCAGGAGATGGGTGTGGTGAGGGCCACGTCCTAGTTCTGTGTTTGTCCCACACCGAAAGGGATAATTTGGTGGTTGAGAGCATATTTTTATATTGTAGTTGAAGATGTCTCGGAATCCAAGCTAAGGTCGTTATGTCGACCCCGTTGGTGTAGGCGCTTTCCATTTGTACCCACATTGGTGGGTCTTGATGGAAGGCCGTAATAAGGGGACTAAGGAGCGAGGCCGAGTAGTACGCATCAGGATGCGGTATGCCCATGCCCCCTTGTTTGAATGGCCTGTATAGTACTGAGGTTGCTATTCTTGGTTTCCTATTGTTCCATATAAATCTGTTGAGTGTGCTTTGTGTTTCTTGTATGTAAGCTCGGGGAAGTTTAATTGGTAAGTTGCAAAAAAGGTATTGGAGTTTAGGGAGGAGGATCATTTTTGCTGCCGCAATACGGCTGGTCCAGGAGATATATATTTGCCTGCCATCCCCAGATTTGTTTTTTTAGGGCTTGTGTTAATTTGATGTAATTGGCATGAAAGAGGGCGGATGAAGTGCTTGTGAAATGCACCCCCAGGAATGTTAGGTGATCTATTCGCCAGTCGTATGTGTAGGTTTGCTTCAAATTTTGTAGATGTTGTTAGGATATGTGTATGCCCATCGCCTGCGTTTTCGTAATGTTTAATTTGTAATATGAGCAGGCACTGTACTTGGTAAGGATGTCATGTAATTGTGGAAGACTTGCATCCGGGTGTTCTAGGGAGAGCATAATGTCGTCCGCAAAAGTCGTAAGTTTGTGCT